TTTTGAAAATTACTGAACTCATCTCTTCCCAAATACCTTAAAGTTGGTTCTTTTCGGGGCAACTTTGACACCCTTAAAGTTGATGAACTAGCTATTTTATCTGTTTCAATAGTTGGAACAGGTTGAAGATCCCATTTAATTGTGCATCTTTTTCCATACTTAATAAACTTATCCGCGAAATGATTAACAAAATAGCTGAGTATTTAGATGGAACCTAATCTTTTCTATTGACAAAATATACTCATCGTTCTCGCAAAGTGCTTTCTTCAGGAAAATGAAATGTAGACTTTTTTGGACCAGTCGTGTAACCAGTTTTATAGTTTGTGACAAAATATTTATTAACCATCTTTATTACTAAAAATATTTTCAAAAAATACAATAACGTTGAGATCTCTTAAATTTATTATTGGAATCATCTCCACATGTATAACATTGCATTTAAAAGCAGTTTGACTATAAACACTAAACATAATAATGTCTGTGTGTCTATTTCATTATTCCACTCTCTAAAGGATTATAATGAAGCAGGCAATCACAATATAATCGGGAAATACATATTATATGAATATGAAAGCATAGACCAAACTTTGATATAATAATTGTTATTACTACACCATTAATGATTAAATGTTATAATCCTCTCATAATATAATATAAGCCGTAAAAAAACTGGCCTTTTAATTTTTTACGGAAAATGCAACAAATCAGGCCGTGTAATTATAGTAAGCCATGATATGTATACATATATATATATATATATATATATATATATATATATATATATATATATATATATATATATATATATATATATATATATATATATATATATATATATATATATATATGTATATATATATATATATATATGTATATATATATATATGTATATATATATATATATATGTATATATATATATATATATATATATATATATATATATATATATATATATATATATATATATATATATATATATATAACAAGCAATTTAATTTTTAACTAAAATGAAGGAAAAAGTAGCCAAGCAAGACAAAAATATTCAAAAAATGAACTAATTTTTTAATGAAAAAGTTTCTTATATTAAAATATTACTACGAAAGTATTAAATAGTACTAGAGGCCATTCAGTATAAATCATCAGTAGTACTATTGCAAATGTAATTATCATGATTTTGATATATGTAGAAAGTTATATAATAGAAATATTTAATTGCAGTTTTGTAACTATGAGTTACCATTGTTATGTTATTATAAAAGGAAGTATTAATTGAAGGTGTCATGTTTTTGTTTATGCAGATAATTTTCATAATTTTCATGACACCTTCAATTAATACTTCCTTTTATAATAACATAACAACGGTAACTCATAGTTACAAAACTGCAATTAAATATTTCTATTATATAACTTTCTACATATATCAAAATCATGATAATTACATTTGCAATAGTACTACTGATGATTTATACTGAAAGGCCTCTAGTACTATTTAATATTTTCGTAGTAATATTTTAATATAAGAAACTTTTTCATTAAAAAATTAGTTCAGTTTTTGAATATTTTTGTCTCGCTTGGCTACTTTTTCCTTCATATATATATATATATATATATATATATATATATATATATATATATATATATATATATATATATATATATATATATATATATATATATATATATATATATATTATTATTATTATTATTTTTCCATTCACAATATAGCGCCAACACACTTCTTTTATAAAATTTTGTTACCATGCTTCTAAAATAGATTTTTTATTTCAAACGTATCAATATTTGGATGGAACCAAAGAACTAAAGTTTTGATGCAGATATGTATCAACGTAAAAAATATACCGGTTAAGGCGACAGTTATAAAAAGAGTTTATAATAGCCAGGTTTTGTGTATATATATATAATTTTTTTTTTCTTAAATGAAGCAATATTTATCTATAAAATATTTTTTAATTTGCAAAAAGCTTAGAAGATATCTATTTCATGAAATAATTTAGATACATAGTTTTTTACTTAACATACGCATTGTTCTCTTGGCAGCGATAATATCATTTGCCGAAGGTCGACTTAACTTGGATTTATCTTGATTTTCTTTAAACATGTTTAGTCATGGTTTTTAAGTAAACAAACGGTGTATAAATGATTTATATTATTTGGTAATAGTTTTACTATTTTTATACAGAAGCTATATAATATCAATTAAAATTAGATAATACTATATTATAGCTAAAGTTATAATTATTACAGTCTATAATTATTATGGTATAATTTAATATTATTAAAAAACTATTATAATAGTATATATTATAGGTATACTATATATTATAGCTATACAAATAGTATACCCTTATTATTTGATTTTTAGATGTTTTTATATTGATTTTATTTCAAATTTTGTGTGCTCATTTAATGTATTTTTCAGTTAGTATTTTTTTGTTTTGAAAGTTGTAAGTTGTCTTCTATTTTTCAAGTTATTAACCATTCTGTTTTCCATTTTCTCAAATGGAACTTACTGAAGACTTAGAGATAGAGCTGTTTTTACTCTTTCTTTTGTACTGGGTTCATTTCTAATGTTTGCTTTTGTATTTTTAAAGTATAACTTTCGGCGTTTTAAAGTTTCTAATCTTAGAAACTTTAAAACACTTGGATATTGCTTAAAAAGAATAATACCCTGGTTTGATTTAGACGACTATTTTCTAACATTTTTATATGATATTAATAAAAAAACACTGGAAACAGTATTTGATAACTGAATTCCTTTTCTAGCATTAACTTGTTTGCTGATATTATTTTTATGTGATAGTACAACTAAAAGGAAGATCATCCAATGTTCAATTTTACGAAGATTACCATCCAATGTTTGCTCTCTCCTAATCTTACCCACCATTAATTTAGGGTTTTTATATCAGAGTTTTCCTTTTTCAATACTTGCTACTCCAATACTATAAGTTGTCTATACTTTATATATATATAGTCAGGGGTGTACACTCGACTTTTAGATGTTTTGACATCTAAAGGCATTGTGCAAACTCCAAACTTTTGTGTGTTCATACTTATGTCAAATGAGAATTGAAGTGATTGGAGCTTGGGAACAAAAAATACCTAATTTTTAGGCCCACCCTTCAAGGGGTTTTTTGTTCCCAAGCTCAATCATCGCAATTCTTTGCAAAACATTGTCATAAGTATGAAGATACAAAAGTTTGGAGTTTGCACAATGCTTTTAAATGTCAAAATTCAAACATCTAAAAATCGAGTGTGCACCCCTGATAATACACACGTATAAAAAAAAAATATAAATAAATATATAAAATTTATATAAATATATATTTATTTATTTCAGGATGGCTTACGTGATCCGCATTTTGAAGAAGCTAGCACAGAAGTATTTTTGTGTTTTTTAATTTAATACATATGTATTTCATTACATTTCTTGTTATAGACAATGCTCTAGTCTGGACTTATATCCAGCTTTAGGAAGACGTCCATATACTTAATCAATATGTAGTGAAATTTAAGATGTATATATAAAAGTGTCTTTTATATAGTTTATATATATATACACTGCAGGCCAAAAGTTTAGGACCAGTCATATATTTTATGAAAATAAAAGCATAACATCAAATATAATAAATATTTAGTATTGTTTTATTTTTATTAATACAAACAAGCAAATTTTACACAATATTACATGAAAAGAAAAATATAAAACGTATTAAAAAAGAAAAAGAACCATTTTATAATTAATTTTTCATCAAAAAATCAATTTAAATATAAATCGTCGTTGTCCTGCATTAAAGTGAACCCAGGTCCAATCAACCTTAAACCTGACGGTATCGCATGGTCTTCTAAAATAGTTTTGTAGCGTTCTTTAGTGAGGATACTCTCTATGTTAATCAAATCTTCCATGCCATGACCTGAGAAAGCTTCCCAGACTAGTAGAGCCGCCTCCGTGTTTTACCGTTGGTATAACCACTGAGGAAGAACCTTCTCATTTGGTCTTCGACCGACGTAAACTCTACAATGTGATCCAAATAGCTCAAATTTTGATTCATCCGTCCATAATACCTTTTTAAAATCTTCAACTGTCCACGAACGATGTTGAATACCCCATTGCTACCAATTTTGCTTATTTTGATTTGCCACACGACCAAACAATTGATTTTTGCGCAAATATTGTTTCACTGTAGTTAACAAAATTGGCGATGAACTAGCTTTGTTTATTTCTGCTCGTATTTCTGGCGCAGTCAAACATCTATTTCTTTTTTTACATACAGCAATATAGTTATCCTGAACTTTAGAAGTTTTTCTTGGTCGTCCTTAATGAGGTCGGTCTTTATTACTGCCTGTTTGATCGAATCGAATTGTGGACAAACGTTTTCGAAATTTTCAACTTAGCAGCAATAATTCGTTCTGATTGACCTTCTTTGTGGAGAGTAATGATTGCTGAACGAGTTTCAACCCTAATTTCATTAGTTTTACCCATATTGATAAGCATAATATATATACATATATATAAATTACTTTAGCTTCTTATTATTTTACAGTATGTTTTTTAAAATAGCTTTTGACTTTTGACGTTTGTAATGTTTTTTTCTTTTTAGAGATATTCAAAATCTATATTTAGTAATATAGATTTTGAGTAGAACACAGCCCTACCCAATCAGGTTGTTTGAAACTTTATTTTAAATCATAAGTTTATTATTTATATAACAAATATAAAGATATATTTTGAATATTTTTCAGATTAAAGTGAAAAACGATTCTTTTTTTTGTTTGGATTCAGACATCAGTAAAATAGATTTAGAAAATAACTTTAGTGATGAACCTTTTGAAGAAGTTCCAAATACCATAGTAGTAGTTAGTTTGATATATTTGTGAACATCTGTTTATTTTATTTATTTTGTTTATTACTTGTTGCTAATAAATTTTTGAAAAGTTTTTGCTTTTATTTTTAAATATTTTTAAAAATGTTAAATGTTGTTTCGTTTTTTAAGTTAATTTTTTAAATATTTGTAATTAATTTTTATATAAATATTCAAGCACAAAGACAAAAAGAAGCCCCATCGGCTATGTGTGTTTTGCAAAAAGTACTCATCGTATCTAAAGCGTCATATTAAGACAAAGCATAAATCCGAAGTTGAAGTTGTTCAGACACTCCCCAAAAAAAAACAGCGATTAGCTTTTCAAAAGTTCAAAAGACTTGGTATATATGAAGTTAATCAGGCTAAAGCTAGGAAAGGGAAACCACAATTTGAAAGAGAACGTATTGCTAAAGTGGAAAATGATGTTAGTTTTCGTAGTCATTGTTTGATGTTTGCTTCAAGAAGATATTGGTATAGCCGTGTTAGGCGATGTCAAAAAAATTCTTTGTAAATCAATTGTTCTTATACCTATTGGACTTCTACAGATACCCAATGGTGTATAAATTGGTGAAGGTTTTCGAACAAACATTCTAGCAAGTTTTAAAAGCTGTGTTTCTCACTCAAAGTAAAGATGATCTATCCCAAGAAATCAATAAGTTCGTTAGAATTCTTGAGATGTGGGAAGATTATATTTTTAGAGATGCAATATATCAACTGAATAAAAATAAAAACATAAAATTAAGAAAACCTTCTGAATTACCAGATGATTATGATACATTTGTATTCAGAAACCATATTTTAAAAAGAATGAAGTAACTAACAGCTAAATCTTTTGAGTTCTTTGATACATCTAGTTATGTAGAACTTAGGGACTGTGCATGGGCAAGATTAACCATGTTGAATGAAAGGAGAGGTATGGTTCTAAATTATTTTTGTTATATATTTTTATTTTTAGTTTTATATATATATATATATAACATATATATATATATATATATATATATATATATATATATATATATATATATATATATATATATATATATATATATATATATATATATATATATATATATATATTTATATAAATTTCCTAAATTATATTTTCTACAGGAGTAGAGCCTGGAAGATTGCTAATTGATGAGTTTAATCAAGCCGTCAATGATTATTGGATTGATAAACAGCGACTCTCTGATTTAGATGATCTAGAACAAAGATTATTAGATCACCTTAAAATAACCTTTATGTGTGGAAAAGGGAACAATCATTTAGTACCTATACTTATTCCTCCAGATACTATGCCTTCATTAAAAAAAGTTAGCTGATCCCATAGTATGCAAAGAAGTTGACATTTTACAAAGTAACGCTTTCTTGTTTGCAATTACAAAACAATCAGAAGGATACACTTCAGGATGGCATTCTGTTCATAATATTATTAGTGTTCTCAGTTTAAAAAACCCAGAAAATATTAAAGCAACTTCTAATTGCCATAGAGTTAGCACACTTTTTTTTAGAGTTAGCACACTCAACTTCGATATGCGTATGTTGATAGTTTAAATCAAATTTTTTATAAATTATGATAAAATGCTAAAATATTACACGAAAAACACTTTAACCTTTTTATTTATAAGTTTTAAGTTATTATTAGTTTATATTATCCTAAGTTTTATGTACCATGCAAACTTAATGTACTTTAAAACTAAGTTAGTGTATTGTTATATTTATTATGCATTGCTATTTTTAGCAAAGTCAGAAAGTAATAAAACACATCCTGCATGCAAAAATAATAAAAATTCAATACTTATCTCTGTTGGTAAGTTTATTAATCTTTTATATGATTAAATGGTATTTTAATCAGTTCATTCATAGTTTGAGATCACTTTTACATAGTTTAATATAAATGGTATTTGAAAATTATAGTTTACCATTTTTGAATTTTAGCAAGTGCTACATCACACACAAAAAACAAGACAAAAAATGTGTTTACTGAACGTAAGTTGCTTAGATTATTTTAAGATTAAGTATTCACTCACTTTAGTTAACCTAATTTTTTTTTTATCTGATGTTCTCAACGTTTCTATTGTTAACTGCTTAAGTAAAGTTTTTTACTAAAAAATTTTTTTTACTACTTTAACTTCTACACACAAACTTGAACATTTCTTTAGATATTGCAAACCAGAAAACCAGAAAAAGTAAACCAGAAAACAAAGATCTTTTCACGAGGTATTATAAGTAATTCACATTATAAAATTTCAAAAGTTGTAGTCTGTCACTGATAATTGTAAAACCACCATTTCTATTTAATGTGCTATTACATAACGTAAAGAATATCCGTAAGGTAATCGAATTTTTTTTATCTTATGGTATGATTTTTTTTTATTTTCTTTAGTCAAAATTTATCCTTTAAGAAAAAAGCGAAATCTTGATTATTCAGATGATTTTAATATTGATTTTAATGAGATTATTAAAGAACCTAATGATGAACAAGAGTATAAGTCAGGTATGTTTTGAAAATCACGATGTTACAAGGTTTTTATGGTGAACTTGATCTGTTTTGAATTTAAAATTGTGTATGGAAAAATATTAGTTGCAGAACTTCTCCGTGTGGTAACAATGATTGATAAAACTAGGTTTTTTGATTTATTACTTTGCGTATCTAACTATATTGTTTAATTATTTTGAAGTGCTGTTGTTTAGATCAACAATCTCTTTGCGAATTTATTTCTGTAAGTGGAACTGGTTTACCGTATAAAACCGTAAGAACCAAACTTACGAATGAACGCATTAAAGTTAGAAATTGTATTAAACGTAACTTGTTGGAAATAAACTTAAACCCTAAAATTTGTTGTTTTTTTTAGTTTATTGTAATTATATGGACAAAAATAATCCTTCGTCTTCTGCTAAATTTCATACCAAATTACGTGGATTATAAGAATGACAATTCTATAAGAATTTACCATTCTTATAGAATTATCATACAAGGCTATTTAGGCAAATTACACTCTTCCGAGATGGGAAAACTTTTTCCCATATTTGCTAACCTGAGAGTTTTTAGCTTTTATACAATTTTAACTTTCTACTACATGGGTCTAAGCATTGCTACTTTAGATACATGTTCCTATTTTCCTATTTAATAAAAATCTATTCCCACTTCGAGCTGACTAGTTATTTATGATACTATTTCATTTTAAGTGAGCACGTTTAAGCTACCCCTTTAAAAATCATCTCGATTGTTGCATTTTTATTATTGCGGTTTAGTTGATAAATTTGAGTATAGGATTAATAATCTGTGATAAATTTCATATTGGACTTAAAAAGATTTCTTTTTGTAGTTAATCTGAATTAAAAAAAAATCGCGTCCCGATTACTATTTACCATTATATAAATAAAATTTTGTGTTTAAAAAACAAATTAATAAGAAGTAAAATAAGTTTTCACTAAAAGCGACACTTAAAATAAAAGTACGGAGATATACACTTGTCGACATTATAGGCATTCTGGTAGAGGAAAGTAGCCAAATATGGAATAGTCACCTAATATGGAATACCGCCTTTTCTCGGAATCTTTTAATTTTGCAGACTATGTACCGGCGCCAATGAATGCATCTAGTCAAATTAGCATTGAAGCGTCGAAGAATCGTCAGTTGAACAAACACTGCGGTAATGATAAGGTTATTTTGTTTTTATACTGCTGAAAAACTTTTTTAAGGTAGATAAAACAATAAAATTTTCTAAAATTTTATGTTTTTACCATTACTATTTTTCAAACTACAATTTTGTAGTATAACTTACCATTGATTTCATGCGTGATTTTTATTTTTTTATCTCAAGTGATATGAAATAATCCAAATATTTGTGCGACATAGTAAATTCAAAATATGGACACACTATGAGTGTCTTGAGATCAATGAGAACCCTTTGGTTCCCTTTTTTTAAGTTTTTTTTTTGTCAAAGAATGTCGTCATCTAAAGAAAAAAGAAAATTGTGGAGTGAAGACAATATGGTAGAGGCTACAAAAATGGTGAGGGAGAAGAAAATGAGGTATTTGAAAGCAGCTCGGCGTTTTGAATTGCCGAGAACAACCCTATTTCGCCAAGCTGAAAAAAAAGACCTGACTCCTGAAGAAGCTGCATCTACTACTTTAGGAAAAAAATCCATGTTAGGAAAAGACCTTGAAAACCAGTTAGTGGACTACGTTTTGGAGATGGAACGTAAATTTTATGGTTTGACATGAAATGACATATACAGAATAGTGTATATGCTAGTAAAACGTAATAATTTACCTAACCCTTTTCATGAATCAGGCATGGCTGGCAAGAAGTGGTTAGGGTTGTTCCTAAATGCCACAATAATATTTTATCGTTAAGAAAACCTAATGGCACATCATTTCCAAGGGCATTTGGCTTTAACAAGAAAAGAGTTGGCAATTTCTTTGACCTCCTTAAAGAGATGTACACCTAACATAATTACCCACCAAATCGTATATAAAATATAGATAAAACAGGCCTGACTGTAGTTCAAAATTATTGGTCTAAGAGGAAAACGCCAAGTCGCTTCACTAACATCTGCAAAACGAGGTGCATTAATGACCGTGGTTGTTTGTATGAATGCTACAGGCCATTTTGTATCTCCTTACATTATTTTTCCTCGTAAGAATATGAACGTTCAGTTAATGAGAGGTAGTCCTCCAGGATTGGTTGGAGTAGCAGACCCATCTGGTTAGATTCACATGCAAACGTTCACTGAGTGGTTCGAACATTTCAGACTCAAGAGTGCTATTGATCTTAGATGGCTACTTTAGCCATACACGCAATGTCGATTTAATAGAACTTGCTAGAAAACATAATGTAGACATTGTATCTCTTCAACCTCACACAACCCACAAGTTGCAGCCGTTGGACAAGACTTTCATGGAACCCTTAAAAACATACTACAGCGTAGAAATTGAAATTTGGATAAGAAATAACAATAGAGCGTTAAGTGTTTATGACACGATGGAATTGTTCGGCAATGCCTACTTAAAAGGGCAAACAGGAGAGATCGTTATGGATTTTGTGTTACCGGAATATGGCCATTAAAACGAAAAGTATTTAGTGACGTTGATTTTATAGCCGCAGAAAATGATGCTGTAAAAGATGGTTGTACGGATATTTCTCCACCAAAATCTCCTACATTTGTAGATGATTTGTAGATTCGCCACTAACCGAAGGTATACCTGCGAATATCCTTTTGGATAGAGAAGTTTCACCACAGCCTTCCACCTGTACTTCAAATGTATCCCCTTATGAAATTAGTCCTATACCAATAAACAAGAAAAGAAAAACTAATTGAGAAAGAAAAGCTGCAGCGTCGGCTATAATTACTTTATCTCCTTATAAAAATGAACTAGTGGCTGCAAATAATAAGAAGAAAGGAAAGGAGAATAAAATTAAAGAAAAAAAAAGAAAACAGCTGAATAAAAATGGAAGATACTAGGGCAAGAAGAAAATATAAGAGGACATTGAGTCTTCCGATTCTAATGACGATCTCAATTATGATTCTACAGATAGCAAACCTGATGTACACATAGGTCAAAAAGGCCCAGATATTGCTGACTCAGAGTGCATGTTTTGTGCACAATTTTTCTCTTAAGATGGAAGTGGGGAATTTTGGGTCAAGTGCTTATTGTGTGGACTATGGGCGCACAATGATTGTGCTGGCCCTGAACGCGATATATGGATTTGTGATTTCTGTAAATAAACTTTTGTTTCTTCTATGTTATAGTTTATTATATAAAAGTTAATATCTACTGTTCAAATTCGTTATACAATTTATATATTTAACCTTGTAAAAAATTTTTTTGTAAATTTTCAATACATTTTTTGAAGAATTTAGTTCATTTTGTCTGTTTTTTCATTTATATCCTATACCTAAAATTACTATTCCATATTTGGGTACCTATTCCAAATTTTTCATTTTTTCTATTTTCGACTTTTTTTCGAAAGGTTTTAACGTTTTAAAAAAATAAAAGTGTCTTCTTAAGAAATGCATTAATGTCTGTTTAAGCAGTATTCACTAAAAAAATTGACTTAGCAATGTTCATATTTTTTAATCAAAAAACAAAATGGTATTCCATATTTGGCTACTTTCCTCTGATAACTTTTAAAAAAATTGATGCTTTCAAATTAAAGACGACAGTTGTAATTCAATGCAAAAATTTACATAGCAGACATGATTGAATGTTTGATATAGACTGCAAAATTGTAATTATATTATTTCTTTTAATGTTACTATTAAGTAATCCAAATAAATGTACAATAAACATAAGTTTATTATTTTTTAGCACTAGAGGCCTTTCAAAAAATCATCAGTAGTGCTATTTATGTTATCAAAATAAAATTTTCTTATTTATAAACAGGAAATGAAAATTATCTATTGTATAATCTTTATGACAATTATAGTCAATTTTTTAATATGATTTTTAAACAGGAAATGTCAATTAAAAGTGTCATGTTTTTGCTTGTGTACATGTTTTTCATAGGAAGTTGAATTTTTTTCATTTTTGAGTTCTAAAAAAACAAAAAGTTGGAAAAAGTTGGTTCAAAAATTGTATTATGTGCACGTTGGCAATTATAAACATGCTTATCAAATCTATTTGTTGATTGCCCGGTTCTACAACTAAAAATATGTCCATTTGTACGAAGTCTTAAATTATTAGTTTTTCCGGTGTATGTACTTTTTATATTGCAAGATAGACATTTTAAATAGTATATTACATTTTTACTATTGCAAGTTATATCGCTCTTTATGTTCCATATGGAACTTTTCACAATGCGAAACTCCAAGGACCAGCTCCACAAAACCGATCTAAAGAAATCTTTTAATAATTACAACTTAATTAACTTAATTACAACTTTTTATAGCAACTTGAAAAGTGTGAACCTTTCATAACTGAAACTAATATTTTACCTAATTTATTTTTAAATGAAAGAGTAAAGGAAGTTTTTCAAATATCCAACCAGTAATTGCATACAAACAACCACCCAATCTATTAAGAATTCTGACCGCTACAAAGTTCCATTTAATTGGTGAAGAAATAGGTTTATTTAAATGTAAAGATAATTGTTGTCATATAGAGGTAGAGTAAAAAACAACGCAAATTTTCAAAATGGGGTACATCCGTTACAGGTCAACTATTTGAAATTTTTTATTTTTATTTGAAAATACCTAATAATGGGTTTTTCTTTCCTGGAAGTCATTATTCTTGGTTTTCCATATTTGGTGAGAATTAGCACTGTGAATTTTCTGATTTTTTCAAAGATTCCCCTTAAAAACTATAAGGAACATAATTGTATTTATATTGATGAAAAATTTCTAAAAGTTATAATTTTTTTTTGTTATGTCATAAATCAGTGTAGTATGATATACAAAGAGGCTGGCTAACTTAGTGCAACAAAAAGTAGCATTTTAGCTAGTAAAGTCCCTTAAAAACTACATGATTTCCCCCTTAAATACTAAATTGCGTTAGGTAAAATATTCCTTCACGGGCTCACTTAGAATAGCCGGGAATGGAGAGAATGTTTATACTGATCTTCTTTAACCATAAAATGTTAAAATGGTTATAACTGGTACCTTTCTGTTTATTTTGTACTCATAATCATTATTTAAGTATGCATCTTCTTTATTTTTAGTATTTAAATTAAATAATAGTATGGGAAAACCGCAGTTTAATTTTAAAATTTCTGCTTGTAGAAAAAGAAGTAGAGTAAAAACATAGTAATAAACTCGAGCTGAAGCAACAGTTTACAGAAAGGACATAAAAGCTAAAGAAAATCAAATATCCAAGTAGACAGTAGATTGGTG